GCGGTGACCCCGCGGGGCAGAGGGCGGCCGGGCGCCCTCTGCCGGGGCCGGGCCCTTCCCACAGCCGCCGCCGCGCTGCGCTTGCTCCGCGTCTGGCCGCCTTTGGGGTCCCTTTCCTGCCCTCTCCCGGGTCTCGGCCTGAGCGTGTGTCTCCTCTTGGTGGTTTGTTTTGTTTTATAAACTTGCTAGAGGGCCAGCGAGAGACGGGGAGAAAGCGCCCCCCATGGGCATGCTCAGGCCACAGTCTCTACCCCGCTCCCTCCTGCGGGCGCTCCGTGGCCTGCTGCTTGTCACGCTGCGGTTGGGGCTCCCGCGGCAGGGGCGGGCCCGAGCCCCTCTAGCCACAAGCCCATCTGGCTTTGTATGAAATCCCAAGCCCTCGGCCGGGGTCGCATTTCCTCTTTCTCCCTTTCTCCGTGTCTCTGCGTCTGGCTGTCATTGCTGTGTCTCTGTGGGGGTCACTTATCTCACGTTGGTCGCTCCGCCGAGTCTCTGCCAGCCTCTGCCTCTCAGTCTTTCCCTCCTTTCTGTTTTTGCTATAGGACACATACGCTCACCCAGGAGAGACAGAGACAGAGAAACAGTGAGAAAGCATAGGGGGTTGGGGCAGCGGCCAGGCCACAGTCCTTTTCCTCTGTCGTCCTCTCTGGGTTTTGGGCACATACACAAATGTAAGTGGCATGTGTCAAGCCGCCGTGTGCCCTGCTCAAACCACACAGTTCTCCCGTCACCTGCTGGTCCCCTCTGTCCTTTTTTTGGCTCTTGTTTCTGGCACAGTCTGCCTCTTTATCTCTTGTCTCCTTTGATCTCTGTTTCTTGTCTCTCTGAATCTCTTTTCTCTGTCCCAGGGTTTCTCCAGGGCTCCCCTTTAAGTCCCTTTGTTTCCCTGTGACCAATTGTGTCTGCTTTAGGGTCTTTAGAGGACCCAGGGTCCCCAGAGCCCTTTCTCCGAATCTCTGACCGTGACTCCTCGCCACCGCTGTGCAGGTGCGCTGTCCCGGGACTGCTCCGGCAGCTGTAAGCCACTGGACATGCCCTCTCTGGAGTCTGCCAAGTCTCCACTTGCACTTGGGGGGCCTGAGCTGCAGCCCTGAATAGTGCAGAAGAGACTGGGCCTGCCCGCGGCGGGTGGGGGATGGGCCAGGGAGTTGCCGCAGGGTCATCCTCAGGGACCAGAGGGCAGACGGATGATGGCCTCTAAGCCACCGGTGTCTGGTGACACTGCGTAAAAATAGTCCCATAGGATAGACTCGGGGGAAGTGGAGATTGGTCTCCCTGCTCCAGGGAAAGACGTCCCGGGCGCCCTCTGCTGGAGCCGCCGAGCCCTCTGCTGGAGCCGCGGAGAGAGGCACAAGGGTTGTAATGAAGTTCTCACGCTGTTCCTGTCTCCATTTGTTTGGGGGTGGGGGGTGCTACGTCTCCCCGCGGTTCTGTGGTCTTCGGGCCTCCCAGTCCCGCCTTCTCTTTCCTCTCCTCTCTGTCCCCTTCTCATTGGGCCTCCCAGTCCCGTCTTCTCTTTCCTCTCCTCTCTGTCCCCTTCTCAGTGGGTCTCTGACCACTTTGTGCTTCGGTGATCTGTGTGGGGGCAGAAGCTCCCATAAGTCAACCCAGGGCTCCTTCCATGAGCTCAGGTCTATTCCTGGAGTCAGGTGACATCGTGGTGGGGTCTGGTGTTCCTGAAGGCTCTTCCCACCACTTCTTCATTTCCACCCACCATTGCACACGACCTAACCAATTGCCATCCCTCTGCAACCCCCAGACCTCGGGGACAGGAGGTTGGCCTCTCAGCAGTAGCACCTCCTGTACCCCGTGTGTGTGTCTGTGTGCGTGTGTGTGCACCTTTACCATTCTGAAAAAAGAAATTATTTGTCAAGGGGCCAACAGGTGGCATGGTGCCTAAGGCTCTGGACACTCCCACATGGCTGACCGTGGTTCAAGTCCCAGACCTGTAGGCTTGCTGTCTCACTTTTTCTCTCTCTGTGGGTCTCTCTCTCTGGTCAAATTCAAACAAATTAATGAATAAATAAGATTTGAAAAAAATTTATTCATCATTATTCATTTTCTTTTTCTTTTTTTCTTTTTCACTATAGGGCGCGTGCGCTTGCCAGACCGACAGAGAGAGACAGAGAGACAGAAAGCGAGAAATCACCCCCCAGGGGGGATAGTCATACCGCAATCCCTTCTCCTCCATTCTCCTCCTGGGATCTTGGGCACGCACGCACACGCGCCCGGTGTGAGTTTTAAGCCACCGGGTCCGGGACACGAACCGCGGTCGACTACGTGGGAGTCCAGCGACATAGCCATTACGCTAACTGCTGGTTCCCATCATTATTCTTTTTCTATAATTATTCAATTTTATTTATTCATTCATTTATTTTAATTTGACCAGAGAGAAAGAGAGAAAGTGAGAAAGTAAGCCACCAGGTCCAGGACTTGAACTGTGGTCAGCCATGTGGGAGTATCCAG